TATAGATTACACTGTAGTTAGAGTCGGAGCTAAAAAATATACTTGTGTGGGGTGAAAATGTGAAAATATTTATGACAAAAGATGAAACATAATCCATTAGATAAAAATTTTTGAATACTACTATATTCAATTCGATCAAAAATACTTTTAAATTTTAATTTTTTTTTAGTTAGATCAACTTTAAGTTTTTCTAAAGAGTTAATTCCAAGAATGATCCTCCGACTATGTTAATTTTCCATAATTGGTCCTCGACTTTTAATTTGGACAATTTAAACCCTTGACTATCGAATTCTTTCCAATGTTAGTCCTTCCGTTAGATGAAGGTTAAGTGGATGTAAATTTGAGGGGTAAAAGCATCCTTTCAAGTATTGAGTGTATATTTCCTCTTTAATCAGTTCAGGAAATCATAAATTGCAAGGGAGCAAAGGCCAGAGGTCGCCGGGTCTTCTGGTTGCTGCCTTCAGCGGAGGTCGTCGCCGCCACCGAGCCTGTCGCCGGGAGAAGTCTCTCTCTGTCACCGCCAACGGGTAAAAACACGAAACCATGAGCAGATACCAGAAGTCTCTCTCTCTCTGTTACAAACGACACCTGAACAAGCAATACCAAACTCAACAAGCAACCTCTGTATTTCTTTCCATTTATTTGATACAGAATCGTAAATTTCCCCTGAATCTAAAGTCTCGTCCCAACATCCAAGACCGCCTATGGCAATCAGTACAAATTGTCTGTTATCTTTATTGGAGTGGTTGCTTTTTTTCTGATAAACTTGCATGACTTCATACTGGGCAAGAAAGAGAACTCATTTTCATCAAGGGAGGGTCTGAATGCAAGTCTGATCGAACGCCTGTGAGGATCTTCATAAACATCTTATGAACTACCAATTCTTGACCTGTGGAATCATCTTTCTAAACAAATTTGTTGGTTCCTGATAATTAGATAATCAGAGCTGACCTCATAAATTCCAAGTATAGGTGATGATCTTGCATATTTCATGGATGCTGCTTTATGCCATGATTTTGTTAAAGGGCTAAACACCAGCACACTTTTGTGTGTCTTATAGGAGTTCTTATCAACCTTGCCAAAGTTAGAAAGACTGGTGCAACCTACGACGATGTATACATCATCTCGGACACCAGCAACAGAGAACAGAAACCTCCCCCTGAGTATTTCTGCGTCTAATTTGTGCCACTGATTCAAGGAGATATCCAGCTTTCAACAACAACAACAAACATATACCTCAGGGCATGTTAGCAGCTTTCAACAACAACAACAAATCCGAACCAGATTCGGGTGAACCACCTTGCCAAGTTGCTAATAACCTAGATCTGGTTCTTGAATTCCCGAAACCAATGCAGGCCGCTCTCGCCGATGCAGCGGACGGTCGTCCAAGGCAATGCAGGCCGCTCTCGCCATCCACCGTCACCAACTCCCCTGTTTTTTGGGCCGCTGGCGCGTGACCCTTCTCGGGCTCCTCGCTGTTGTTGCTCTGAGCTATATGTTTCTTTCCGACGCCTTGCCATGTAATGCCGATGAGCCACTCAACGGTAAAGGCGCCGAGAGTGGCCAACATGGCCTACTAGCCATAGATCAGCTCAGTAGTCGATATTCCGACGCCTTGTTTAGGGATTTATAGCACGTTTGGTTCACGGAATGAATTTTGAGGTAATAGGAATTTTGGTGGCGGTGGGTGGGGGTGGTGGTGGTGTTGGGGTGGTAGTGGTGGCAGTGGCGGTGGCAGTGGTGGGGGCGACGGTGGTAGTGGTGACGATGACGGTTGTGGCAGTGGTGGTGGGGGCGGCGACGGTTGTGGCGGTGGTGCTGTTGGGTGGTGGTTTTGGTGGTTCTAGTGGCGGTGGTGGTGGTGGTGGCGGCGGCGATGGTGGTGGTGGCGGTGGTGGTGCTGGGGTGGTACTGGTGGTGGTGGTGGCGGTGGCAGTGGTGGGGGCGGCGGTGGTGGTGGGGGCGGCGACCGTTGTGGCGATGGTGGCGGTGGTGGCGGCGGCGGCGATGGTGGTGGTGGCGGCGGCGGCAATGGTGGTGGTGGCTGCGGCGGCGGTGATGGTGGTGGTGGCGACAACGGTGGTGAAATAGGATAAATTTATATATAGGATAAAAAAATTAGGTTAAAGAAAGGGGTAAAAAAGAAAATATATTCTAAAATCTATTCCTGAATGTTCAGTAATAGGCTAATACCAGAGGGGCCCTAGTAATAATTATTACCTTATTTGAGGTAATAGGCTATTACCAGGAATATTATTCCTGGTAATAGAAATGGTTACCAAACAAAGGAATAGGCCTATTACTGGGAATGCTATGCCATTCCCGGCCTATTCCGCGAACCAAATAGGCCATTAGGGATTTAGCTATCCTGTATGCCGTATACAAGAAAGGGAGGAAGACATTAATCATTAAAATGACTACTTTACCCCTTAATTTAACATTTACTTAACTTTCATCTAACGGAATGACCAATATTGGAAAGAATTCAAAAGTCAAGTGTCTAAATTGTCCAAATTAAAAGTCGGGGATCAATTGTGGAAAATCGACATAGTCGGATGACCATTGCTGGAATTAACTATTTTTCTAAATTAATTTGAATATAAATGAAGTAGACTAATGAAGTAGATCAACTAGTAAATTAATTCGAATAAATTAAGTAGACAAAAAAAATATTTAATTTATCTTGGAAAGGAATGAAAGAGATAAAATAAACAAGTGTTGTTAATGAGTTTAATTCGAATAAATTAAGTAGACTAAAAAAATATTTAATTTATCTTGGAAAGAAATGAAAGAGATAAAATAAACAAGTGTTGTTAATGAGTTTTGAACCCATGACCATATACTTTTTATTAAAATCAAATTTGGAGTTTAACCAACTAAACTACTCAAACAATTAATACTTTAAACATAAATATAAATTTTATATAACATTTAATGCTATATATGTATATATATCTACTATATATATATACTAATAAGAGCCCAAGAGAGTTAGGCCTATAATGGGTAGAAAAAATGGCGGTCAAATTTTTTAATCAAATGAACGGCTCAGATTGATCAGATTTTAATTTTTCCTTAAGATTTACTAATTTATCCTTAATGAATATGATTATCCGTTAACTTTTCCGTTAAATATTATCTTTTCCGTTAATTTCTGTTAGTTCACCGTTAACTTACTCATTAATTTCAATAAGGAAGGTCTTAAGTTCGAACCCCACTGCACCCCAATCAAAGTTGACATAATTAGTACTCTATTTTACTCTTATTAAATTATTAAATTATAATTTAGTAGCTACAACAAAAAATAATACATATGCATTTCTTTAATTTAGAATTATGTGTCTACAACGTCTTTATTCAAAAAAATTATTCATTATCAATAAATTAAATGAGAGAAATGATTTCATTAGTTATATTGTCTTTATTTTTCTCCAATATAAAAATTCTTTACATCCAAATTCATCAATTGATTATATTCGCTACATTGTCCCTACAATGTCTTTATTTAAAAAAAATTAATCATTATCAATAAATTAATTAAGACAAATAATTTTTTAGTTATATTGCGTTTATTTTTCTCCAATGTAAAAATTCTTTACATTCAAATTCATCAATTGATTATATTCACTACATTGTCTATTATCTTTTTTTTTTTTTTGCACTATTTTTTAAATTAAATATCAAAGTTATAATACAAAATAATGCTATATATTTATTTACCAAGTATTTTATTAATACCATGAAAAAATTAAAAAAAATATAATTAATAAAGTCAATCATATTAACTACTTGAGGGATTTGTTGACAAATAGAGTATTCAAATCACACAACAAATTGAAGTGAGAACTATCTCGCAATGTCCTTGTTTGACAATCAGCAGTTAGCGATTAGCGTTAGCGGATTATATTAGCAGATTTGACCAGCGAATTATATGAACTGTTGGTAAAAAGATATTTGAAAAAATTAACTGTTTAGATTAACATGTAAAATGACCTAAGAGTATACATATATTTATTAATAATAATAATAATAATAATAATAATAATAATAATAATAATAATAATAATAATAATAATAATAATAATAATAATTGTTTTAAAAAAATAAAAAATAAAAAATCTTATTAATCCAATTATATTAACTACTTGGGGGATTTATTGACAAAAAGAGTATTCAAATCACACAACAAAATGAAGTGAGAAACTATCTCGTAATGTCCTTGTTTGGCAATCAACAGTTAGCTCTTCAATATTAGTATATATTTAATATTTTATGCCCTAATTTTTATTCGCTATCCCTTATGTCACGTATTTGGTTTCAACCATACCTATACAATTATTTTATTGACAATTATAATCAATCTTGACTATATTATCTTGCATTTTTAAACTTAGAATTACCTATTTAAATACGTAAATTCAATATTCAATTATCTATGCATGAACAATTCCAATATAATCTTGCTTTGATATATATACTTTAAAGTACTTATTTAAAAAAAAAAAAAAAACATTGGACATTATCCCAATCGCGCAATGCGCGTAAAAAACTAGTACATACATATATATAAAGGGGTGGGATGGAGGGAGTGGGGGCAGCTACCCCCACTGCCCCCAGGCTAGCTCCGTTCATGCCCTCCCCCTCTAAACTCTCATTCGACCCTACCAGAACCAACATACTTGATTTATTTTCTGCATTTATTTTTCATTATTTATTATTGCTAAATAACAAAAATTAATCGTTCTGAAATAATTTAATTTAAAATCAAGTAGAACTTTAAGTTTTGATTTTTGTTCAAGCTACGTAGCACAATTTCACCTTTATTTACCAATAAACCGGCCTTTTACAATAAAGATTCTAACAACAATATAATATTTGGAGTACAGTTGTAAATTATTCCTTATCTTTCAATAATGAGCATCATCAAAATCTATAGAATGCTCGTAATTCCTAACAAATATTAATAATAATGGTGAAAATTCAGAAAACAAAGTTTATTGAAATTTATTTATTGGAGAAGTGACATAGAGTGATATATAGGGAATTGAAACATGCATGAGAATTGTTGGAAACCTGCCATGAAACTACAATACACTCATAAAGTCCTTGTGTCTATCCGATCCAGCCAATATATATAAGTGCAGATTATATTGTGGGTGGATGAATCCTAAGCTTGATACATTATCATTGAACTTGAATTCTTCTTGGGCCATGTGGTCTTCAATAGTTTTGTCAACCACTTTATCACCACCACTGTAACCTTAATTATATACGCAACACCAATAATCACGTAAGGTGTTACAAACACACAGGTGATCAAGGCGAAGATGAAGGCGCCATATACACCAGTAGTCATTTCCAGGCACACAATATAGCTTACTGCCGCTGCAGTGATTGCCACCCACATCGTCATCATCATTATGTACATATACAGTTTACGATGAAGGGGCAAACCACTTATGAGTAACAGTATATGACACCCACAGATGCAAGAAAGCTCAACGTGTTGGCCAGTATGAACACTATATAAGGATTTTGTTGGTTATAAGCCATCACAGATGTTCCTAAGATAGGTGTCAACTTATGGTCCATGACTTCTCCAAACGCGCAATCAACATTCCCAGACAAAAAACTTAGAAGAGGTATACAATTTATCATCATCATCAATTACACCGCCAGGGGGGCTAACAACGGCCTGGAAGGCCATTGTTGCCAGCAATGAAGCTGCCACCATTAACCTCTCACGCATTTCATCAACCCAATTCTCTGAATCTTTAGCTTCCTTGTCCCTCCTCACAAGTAGTGCTTCTCCAATTTCCATCTCTTTCACATTATTCATATTATTATTTCTAGTCTGAATTAAGAGAGTGTCCATAGCTGTTAATCCCTTTCCATTTTCAGCCTTCACTTGTATTCTACTATGTTGGACCAAAAACTTCACAGCCTACATACATGATACAACAATAATATATATATAGTTAGCATATATGTCAGTGCCAAAACCTTTGCTCCATGAAATAAATTAAGTTTACCTCAAATTGTTTATACTCCACAGCCAGATGCAAAACAGTGTTACCAGAAGCATCCTTAGAATTCACAAGATCTGCGTCGTCTCCTATCTTCTCCACAACAAACTTTTGAGCCTCCAACTGCCCATGCTTAACACACATGTGCAAAATGCTCTCACCCAACTTCTCAACATCCATCCCCATAACCTCACTTAATTCACTGCTACAAATTTCAACATGCCCATCACTCATCATCAGCTCCTTCAACACCTCAACTCTCCCTTTCACAGCTGCAAGGTGGAAGGGAGTGAGCCCATCTCTATCACGAGCCTTACACATCCCGCGATCAGCTAACAGTAAACATCTAACCATGCCCGTGTGCCCCATGGCAGCCGCGAGGTGAAGAGGCGAAGATTGATTGGAATTCAACTCTTTGGCTAGCTCGGGCTTTCTCTTAAGGATTTCATTGGCAAAATCGTCGTATCCCAGCATTGCCGCCACATGTAGGGATGTGTCGGAGTAAACACCACTAGCCATGCTTCTCTCCAGAAGCAAAGGATCTTCATCTAAACGCCTGTTTAAGCTTTCTACATCTCCTTTTAGTGCAGCTTCGAAAACCATTCTTTCCATTTTTGTTTTCAATTTTTCACAATATCGAGGCTAGCTAGTTAAAACAAGAAATGAAAGCTAAGCTGGACACAACTACTCGTACAAGATGCAATGGTGTGTAGGAATAAACAGTTATTGTCATGGGAAGTGTGCGTAGGAATATATTTATAGGGCAGGCAATAATGGAAGGTTGGTTTTATTCAGATAATTTTGTTAAGGGAAAATAACACTTTTTCTCTGATGAATTATATCCTTATAAGATTTTTTCTCATAAATTATTCATGAATGTCTATATATTTGCTCTCTCATTTATTTTAAAAATGACAATTTTTTCTCTACCCTTTCAAATATGCTTTTGAATTGTTAAAAATAAGGGCAAAATAGATATTTTAAGTCACTTTCCTTCCTAAAGAAATTATTGATTATATATGAAATTTAGAACAAATGCAACAAAGAATAGACACTATTTGCATATATTTTAATTATAATTTTAAATTAATACTAGTAATAGAATTAAGACTTGAAACACAAATTTAGCAATAAAGAATTATTTGTGTTTAAGTCTTAATTCTGTTGTTAACCTTAATTTTGTTGCTAACATTATGTAGTTAAAATTATATCAAGGCCTGCACATACCAGAGTTTAGAGGGTTCTGGAAATTAAAGTTGAGGCTATATATGGTACGGCATACAGTAATTATTCCTTCCTATCTGATCAGAGAGTAGAATAATTAAAGCAATCTATAAAGCAAGAAGGAAATACATAAACTTGATTCGAAACGGTAAACATATGGTATACATTCTTCACTGTAAAGGAGAATAATAAGGCACGAACGAAAATTAATAACACGTTTTGAAACCAGAATATATATAGGATTAGATGAACAGTGATATTGATGGGAGGTAACAAATCCGATCCATTATTTCTTCAATTCAACAACAATCCACACAGAAGTAGTAAACAAAATGCTATAGCTTCAATCATAACAATTACATATATATGCTCGAATTGCCCGTGTGGCAAGCTCAATTGATTTAATCGATCACCTTAAAGTTTTGCTCTATCGACAATGTGGAGGTTCGAATTCCACTAGCAACTTGAGGGTCGTCATTGTGAGACCTTGACTGATCAAATTAAAGGTAATGAAGACTCCTTGTGTGTAGAGTGTACATGCAAGAGATGAGGACTTGGGGATTGACGGAGTGATTCGCAATTTGCCTCATCCAGCGGCTCTTTGGCAATGTATCAAAAACATATACATGTTTGATTTCACAAATAAGATATCAATTACTCGAGGATGAGTATGAGGTGAGTTGAGACCATTTGGTGCAAAGTCTATAGCGCCAAATGTAATAAGGGTGTGTTTGGTTCATACAATCTAGGGAATTAGAATCAAAATGTGAATCGAATACTCGGTAATTAATGGTAATCAATTTTGATGAAAGTATTTTTCATGTTTGGTAGTATAATCGAATTAGAATGATTATCAATATTGATGTTTGGTTATATATGACTCTTTAATGGGAATACATGTTTTAAAAAATAAAAAATTAAGGCAATTGGTCATAATATAATGACTAATAGTTAATAGACTTACTCTAGTCCTACAAACTAGGAGGAACCAGTCTATAACATAAACCAAAATATGTTATTCCTTCTTAATGACATCTAGAGCACTAATATATATAAACAAAAAAAAATCAAAAAAAAATGTAAAAGCACTTATCCAAACTTAAAAATCGTACTACCATCCAATTCAATAAGATGGATGGAATGTACCTGTTTTTAATTAGGGAATGTGCTTTTTAATTGAAGGGTTAATAAAATCCTAAAGTTATGCATGTGTTTTAAAAAGTTGTCAACTAAACACTAACTATGATTTTGATTTTCATTCTTGGTGTGTAAACTCATGAACCAAACACATTCTAAGTGGTACTAGGTTATTGACATTCACAAGGGTGACTACAGATCCAAATGAATTTGATGTGTTTCCGAGCACGACTTGCATATTTTCCCATTCACAAACGCAGCATTGGAAGGTCAATTAATAATGTTTTTGCCAAGAGTCAAGTGATTGAAATCACTGTTTTTATACAAATTAAGAGACAAAACAATGGCCAAGCACCTTGTGCACAGATGACACCTGAGTTGGACTCTCATATGGGAGGTTGTGAGTTCGAACCTCAGTGGAGGCGTTATTGGCTTTTTGCGCTTCAGTAGGTTGAGAAAGTAGTTATGAACAGATACTACATAGTAATAGAGTCAGTAACATTAAAAAAAAAAAGACAAAACAATGAATATTATGATTATGACACGATGGGAAACCGAAATGGCAGTTGGTCGAAATTAATGAATTTTGTTGTCCACCAAATATCTTGGAATTTCCAAATCTAGAAATTTCTATATTAATTAATAATTATTCTAATTCCTATCTATTTTAGGGATCAAGAGGATCAAGCAGCATGTGATGCACCACCTCATCACTCTATAACTAACTTAGTTATGATTGTTGAAAGTAGTTAAGAAGTCTTGTTTTGTAATTAGTGATCCCACTTCCCTTACTGCCTTCTCTATCTTGTACATATATAAGCTGGCTGCTTCCTTGAATATAACATACAGTATACACCTTTCATAACCGTTTTGCATAACCTGTTTTTCCTTCTTCTTCTCATTCACAATATGGTATCAGAGCACCTGTGAGGAGCCTACGAAGGAATCACCATGGCAGCGTGGCCGTCAATTGGTACACGGACAACACCAAGCGATAATGCAGCAGGAGGTCCAGCAGTTGGAACTCCGGCGCCGGTTCCGGCAACTTCATCTACTACTCTGCCGAATATTTCCAATGTAACAGAGGTATCCTTAGATTCACAATCGCAATCCAATCCATACTTTATGCATGCAAGTGAGAATCCAGCTTTGGAGCTTGTATCAACTCCCTTAGAAGGTCCGAATTATCATCCATGGGCTAGGGCTGTAACCATGGCACTATCGTGCAAAAACAAACTGGCATTCGTGGATGGAACCATTACCAAGCCTTCCAGAGATGATCGGAGGTATCCATACTGGGAGCGATGCAATAATATGGTGGTAACCTGGCTGATTCGTTCTCTATCACCAACGATTGGCCGGAGCGTCCTCTGGATCGACACAGCATATGGAGTATGGAGAGACCTAAAAAAGATATTTAGCCAACAAGATCTCTTTCGAGTCGCAGAAATCAAGTGCGAAATCTATCGATCTAAACATGGTGACAATTCGTTGAATGAATACTTCACTCAACAGAAGCTACTGTGGGACGAATTGCAGATACTTAGACCACCTGCGTTCTGCGGTTGCATCTCCAGATGTGAATGCGGAAAGAAAATAGATATGTTGAACGAACAAATGGAGAAGGACAAACTGTCTATTTTTCTGATCGGATTGCACGACAGGTATACTTGTGCTAAGAATCGGATTATGCTGATGAAGCCTTTGCCAGAAGTCAGTGAAGCCTACTCTATGATAGCACAACAAGAGAGGCAATTGCATATCAATTCTACTGGTTATGGAAGTCCTTTATTTCAAACTGGAGAAAATAATGCTGCTGGAAGTGTATTGATGACCAGAGCACACACTGGTTCACAGCAGAATTACAAAAAATTCTCAGGAGGGAACAAGAAAGCTATCTGCACTTTCTATGGTTTTACAGGGCACACAGAGAACAAATGTTATAAAAAAACATGAGATCAAGGAGCCAAGGTTTTGCTGCAAACAATAGTCAAGGACCATTGGCAATTCAATAGCCAAACTCTGATGGAGGTATATCATTTACTCAAGATGACTTTAAGAAGTTTTTGGAATTTGTGCATATTCAAAAGTCCAATGAGAAAGGATTGATGGACAGTACTCCCCTTGATCAATCCACATATAATGCACATGCCAATACCATTTCAGCTAACCAGATGGAAGGTACTAATTCCCTTTCCAAATCTATTAGTTATAGCAAAAATACATGGATATTGGACAGTGGGGCTACTCATCACATTGTATGTTGTATGGAATTATTATCTAATCCAAAGGAAGTCCACAATATGTTTGTAAGACTGCCAAATGGACAACAGGTTGCTATTTCTTGCATTGGAAGAGTCTGTTTGTCTGATGAGTTCATTCTGCAAAATGTTTTATACATTCCTGGTTTTTGCTATAATTTGATATCTGTGGGGGCCTTCATCCAAACCTCTAGATGCACTATGAAACTACACACTAACCAGTGTGTCATACAGGATGCTATGCATGGCAAGATGATTGGATTGGCTGAGCTTCAGAATGGATTATATCTCCTGACTTTTCCTGTCAGTTGTTTCTCTGTGCACAATGTTAGTTCAAATGTGAATAAGTGCACCTTGTGGCATACTAGATTAGGGCATGCCTCATACTCTAAGATTCATTGTTTACATAAGGTGGATTCCACAATTTGTATGAATAAAGATCTGATTTGTGACTGTTGTCACTTTGCTAAGCAAAAAAGACTTCCCTTCTATCTTAGTGCATCCATCTCTTGTGCTTGTTTTGATTTGTTACATGTAGACATTTGGGGTCCATACAGAGTTCCCACCCTTCATGGACATCAATATTTTCTTACTATCTTGGATGATCATAGTAGGGCAGTGTGGGTATATATATTTGATGAAGAAGAAATCTGAAGCAAGAGATTTGATTGTGAACTTCTGCAATATGGTTGAAAACCAATTTCAAACTCATGTTAAGAATATCAGATCTGATAATGGCAAAGAGTTTGACATGATTGAGTTCTACAAGCAAAAGGGAATACAACATTAGACATCCTGTGCTTACACCCCACAACAAAATAGTAGAGTTGAAAGAAAACATGGACACCTTCTATCTACTGCCAGGGCATTGAGATTTCAAGCCAGTATGCTAGAATGTTTTTGGGGAGAATGTGTGCTACATGCAGCCTACATCATAAATAGGTTGCCCTCCAGTGCCATCAATGATCAAATACCATACCAAGTTCTCCTCCACAAAGCACCACAGTATCAGCATTTAAAGGTTTTTGGTTGTCTGGCTTATGCTGCCACTTTGGGCCCTAAGTCTAAGTTTGATGCAAGAGCAACAAAGTGTGTTTTCCTTGGATATGCTAATGGAACCAAGGGCTACAAGTTGTATGATCTCCATTCCAAAAGGATGTTTGTATCCAGAGATGTATATTTCAACGAGAATACCTTCCCTTTTCAAACCACTGTCAACCTAAAGGAGTTGAGTTTTTCTGAAATCATACTTCCAGCTATGATAGGCATTTCAACTGAGTCCATTGATGACTCATAAACTCATGTTGACAATATCTCTAATGGAGCAACTGAGCAATCACTTGAAAGAAATGTTGACAGTAGACCTGATGGATCAGCTGAGCACTCACCTGACAGAAATGTTGACAGTAGTTCTGGTGGATCAGCTGGGCACTCACATGAGAGAAATAATGACAGTGGTTCTGATGGATCAATTGAGCATCCAGCTGAGGTAATAGTTGAAGAACTACAACAATAGCCTGCCAGAAAGTCTACCATACATAAGCAAATCCCAACATATTGGAGGGACTATGCTTTCCATAATTCTGTGTTGAAGACTTCTCCCCATGACATCTCCACAGTTGTAAGCTATGCTAAACTTTCTTCCTCATTTCAGTCATTTGCCATGAATATTTCTTGTCATACTGAGCCTAAAAACTATAAAGAGGCAATGAAACATGATTGTTGGAGGACAGCTATGCAGGAAGAAATAGCTGCATTAGAAAGGAACCAGACTCGGATCTTGGTGGACTTACCACCATCAAAGAAGCCTATAGGGTGTAAATGGGTGTACAAGATTAAACACAAGGCAGATGGGGATATAGAAGAAGAAGAAGTGTATATTGATGGGGATCTAAGGGATACACTCAGACCCTTGGTATTGACTATCTTGATACCTTCAGTCTAGTGGCCAAAATGACCACCATTAGGACTTTGTTAGCCATAGCAGCTGCAAAAAACTGGCATATCCACCAAATGGATGTTAATAATGCTTTTCTCAATGGGGATCTAGAAGAAGAAGTGTATATGGAACTTCCTCTTGGAGTTGTAGCAGCTAAGGATGGTCAAGTTTGTAAGCTAATTAAATCCCTATATGGCCTAAAGCAGGCCAGTAGACAATGGAACACAAAACTATGTGTTGCCTTACAGAGAATGGGATTTAAACAATCAGTGGCAGACAATTCCTTGTTTACAAAAGGCAAGGAATCATCTTTTGTCGCACTACTAGTATATGTTGATGACATAGTAGTAACAAGTGCTGATCCAAATCTAATCCAGCAGATCAAGACTCGGCTTAATAACACCTTCCAGATAAAAGATCTAGGATCTTTGAAACATTTCTTAGGCTTGGAGGTGGCAAGGCAGAAGAAGGGAATTGCAGTATCACAGAGGAAATATGTTCTTGAGTTGTTAGAAGAAATAGGATTTATTAATTCCAAGCCTGTGTACAGTCCTACTGTCCCTTCCCACAAACTAAGTAAGGATGAGGGTGATTTCCTTGATGATAATGTTCAGTACAGAAGACTAGTTGGGAAATTATTGTATCTTACTATTACCAGGCCTGACATTAGCTTTGCCACACAACAGTTGTCTCAATTTTTGGATAAGCCTACACACCTACACCTACAAGCAGCTCACAAGGTGTTAAGGTATATCAAAAGTGCTCCAGGACAGGGACTGTTCTTTCCAGCATCTTCTGATCTAAGCCTGAAGGCCTTTTCTGATGCAGACTGGGGTGCTTGCATTGATTCCAGAAAGTCTGTAACAGGGTTCTGCATCTTCTTGGGGAAAGCCTTGATTTCATGAAAATCCAAGAAGCAAGCCACAGTTTCTAAGTCCTCCTCAGAAGCTGAGTATAGGGCTCTAGCTGCTACCACTTGTGAAGTGCAATGGATACTTTACTTGCTGATTTTGGTTTATTGCCTACAACTCCCACAGCTGTCTATTGTGATAGCAAGTCTGCTATAGCTATTACTAAGAACCCGGTCTTCCATGAACGTGCACATCGAGATCGATTGTCATCTTGTTAGAGAGAAAACTCATAAAGGGATCATCAAGCTCTTTCATATCAATTCTGCAAACCAGTTGGCAGACATTCTTACTAAGACTCATTGTTCAAGCTCTTTCTATAGATATGTTTTCAAGCTTGGCTTGCTCAATCTCTACAATCCAAGCTTGAGGGGGGCTTTTAGGGATCAAGAGGATCAAGCAGCATGTGATACAGCATGTGATACACCACCTCATCACTCCATAACTAACTTGAATTGGTTATGATTGTTGAAAGTAGTTAAGAAGTCTTGTTTCGTAATTAGTTTTCCCGCTTCCCTTACTGCCTTCTCTATCTTGTACATATATAAGCTGGCTGCTTTCTTGAATATAACATACAGTATACACCTTTCATAACCGTTTTGCATAACCTGTTTTTCCTTCTTCTTCTCATTCGCAATAATCTGAGACTGAGAGGAGAATAATTAAAGCAATATATAGATCTAGGAATATAAAGCAAGAAAGAATTGAAGTACGAAAACTTGATTTGAAACCGTTAGCATGTGGTATATATTCTTCATTCCTATCTGAGTGGAGGAAAATTATTAAAGCAATATATATAGTATGTATCACTGTCAGAGAGGAGAATATATAAAGCAATAAAGAAAACTGATAACATGTTTTGAAACCAGCTACCTACAGGATTAGATGAACAGTGATATTGAATATTGATGCAAGGTAACAAATCCATTACTTATTCAATTCATCAACAATCCAAACAGAAGTAAACAATATGAAATAACTTCAATCATAACAAATTTAGGACATGATAATCAAACAACACCTTCATTTGAGCGCACAAATAACTTTAATTTTTTTTCCATAATAACAGGAATAGACGATTGGGCTATGTTGTTCATTGTGACAGGTTGGAAGGGCCGTAGATCAATCATTATTGTGTGGACCATGGTCTACACAAGTTCTGTATACCATATTTTGTATACTGTAAAATAATGTACATTTAATACAAAAATAATGTACATTCAGTACAAAAATAATGTACATTGTATTCAGGGGATGTACATTATATTTGTACTGAGTGTACATTATATTGTATAATGTACATTCAGTACAAAAATAATGTATATTTAGTATATTAAAAATGTACATTTTGTTATGGTCCACGTAACATTGGGTGGACCATGGTCCACACAATAATTTGCCGCCGTAGATGGCTCAGATACCAATTTGTAGAATAACTTAAGTATAAAGTTGTAGAACTGAGGTTTGTTGAAACTAATGACAGCAGACGCGAGAGAGAAAGAAAATAACAGAAAAAATATATATTGCAGATGATTATGGTGTAGTAGTTGCACTTAATGTGGTGGACTTCTTGTGACCACCAGGCATGTATTGGTCCTCCCACATAATGGGTCGCTAAGTCACTGTGATTTGTTCATACACTATCCTGTCGAGGTGGGTGTGGGAACCTTGGGGGTAGTAAATTATGGGGAAGGACGACAAAGATTTCATGATAAATAATGACACGAAGGTAACAAATTCATTATGTTATTCAAAAACACTCAAGACGTACAAAACATATACTTAGTAGATAAAATGCAACTTCAACCATAACAAACAAATGCCACATAGGGGCATAGGGCTTTTTCTCTCTCTCTTTTTTTTTTTTTTTTTTCAAATCTAAATTAAATACAATCTTGCAGAAAGAAAAATCATTAATTAGTTTTCATCCCAGGCCTAGTTATTATACCAAAATTGAGCTTGGAGATAGTTAATCACATTTTGCCCAACTTGGAAAGCTTTAGTGAGAACTTGAGGATTGATGGGTGGGTTTGAACCGAAAACAGCATTTGCAATAGTGATGACTCCAGGATTTTGGCTACTCAGTCCAGCAAAAGCAACTGCATTGGTCTTTCCAACATTGAATTGGAAATGAATGAGGCCTTGTGGGAACACAAAAACATCACCTGCCACCAATGTTTTGGTGAAGAGAGGGTTCTTCATGCCCGGGGGAGGATTTGACAAGACAAATCCCACATAGAGAGTGCCTTCTAAAAGAAATAAAACCTCAGTTGCTCGAGGATGTGTGTGAGGTGGGTTGAGGCCATTTGGTGCAAAGTCGATACGGACTAGTGAGATACCGAGTGTGTTAAGTCCTGGTAGGTTGTTGACATTCACAGGTGAGACCTTTGATCCAAGTGGATTTAATGTGTTTCCAGGCATGTTTAAACCTCTAAAGAGGAAATCATTAGCTACAACTTGCATTGGATTTTTGCATATTTTCCCATTCACAAACACTGCAAACAAATTAGAACAATTGTAAACATGCATTAGAGGACAGTTGAATGCCATTGATGAGAAACACTCATATTCATTTCAAGATCATGCTCATCTAGGATGAACTTTAATTCAAATCAAGGAAATTAAAAAATGTTAAACACGTAACTAATTAAATTTATAGCTTCTATTCAATTGGGTTCCTTGACTTAAAAAATGTACAATTAAATCATCAAAACAACAAAATATGTGCAATCGAAACAGTTTTCCAATTTTCTTAGCAGAATTCAATCATATGGCTTACATGGTTTGTACTAATTAATTAAGTTGCCATTTCCTCTAGCATACTAGTTGGGATAAAATATTGATATATTTTCAACTCAAATTGTATTAATATATCAAAATATTCACCCAACAATCATGATATGTAGTTTAGCAACTTACCGGCTGCATTAGAATCATTAACTGCAACACAAAAGTCTTGCAAAGAGCTGGGATCAGATGCATGGGAAAATGAAGATGCTAAAGCCACCATAGCAATGGCAAAGACTATGAATTTTAGAGCCATATCTAAAATATTTTTACTGACAATATCACAATTGTTGAATACCTTTTTGTGTTTTTGGTGACAGTATAACCAAAGATGGGAGGCTATTTATAGCAACATTCTCATCTGATAGGATGTTCCAAAGTACATGCAGATCAGACTAGGCTTCTATGTTTTGGGATTTGTTTTAATTCTTTAGTATGGTTGGTTAACTAACATGCATTTTGTTAATTGGGATCCAATGATCTCTTCAAATGATAAAAGAATTGTTTTTAGTCAATTTTTTTTTGACAATTATTAAGCAGTATCTTATGATGTTTTCAGAGAGCTATTTAAGGTTGTTAATAGTACGTAGTTGGATTAAATTAATTTGTGTTCAATTAGTCCTAATCATCTTCAGTTAGGCACTTCGACCTAACCATTTCTTACCATTATTTTTGGGCTGACATTTGTTTTGATTTTTGGTTTAATTTTATTTGAAGATATGAATTTCTAAAGAAACAAGAATGATAATAATTTTCTTTTGAAATTTGGAGTATCACATCGGGTGGATGGGAAAGGAAGAATCCCACATATACAGTGCCTTCTAAAACAATTTTCTCCTAGATGTGTATGTGTATGAGGTGGGCTGAGGCTATTTGGTGCAAAGCCGATACGAGCTAGTGAGATGCTAAGTGCATGACGGTGGGGTAAGTTATTGACATTCACAATCATGACGGTTGATCGAAGTGAATTTGATGTGCTTCCGGACATCATTAAATCTTTAAAAAGAAAATCAATAGCTACAACTTGCACTGGATTTTTGCATATTTTCCTAAGAAAAGGGTCAAATAAGCTTGTAAACTTTACCTAAAAAGTCGATTAGTCCTCTTAACTTTTAAAAAGTGCAATTACATACACCCTTTAACATGTTATATATATATATATATATATATATATATATATATATATATATATATATATATATATATATATATATATATTGAGGCAATGATGTCCAAAAACTGGTAAATGACCTGCTATTACAGGCCATTAGGGTTCCCACATCAATTTTATCCATCTCCGACGACAATCCGGCGGCTGGCACGACCGAACCGTCATCGTCTACCTGAGAAGGCGAATTGTTCGCCTTCTCCATGGAAGGCGACCAACTACTGGTCGCTACGCCGGGGATGACTCCCCTTCCATATGAGAAGGTGTGTAGTTGGTCATATTGCTTAATTACATGGTTTGTACTAAGTTGCCCTTTCCACTGCCATACTAGTTGAGATGAGATATTGAAAAAATTTCAACTCAAATTGCATTAAAATATATCAGAAAAATGTATCAATTGCACATATTTTGCTTGTTTTATAATTCGATTGCACATTTTTTTTAGTCCAGTAACACAATTATATAACACCAAAATCAATAATAGGAATATATCGCCAGCATGGGCAGCTCAACTAGTCATAGAGGTGAAGTTTGGAAAGAATGACCAGGGATCGAGTCTCACCAGCGGCAGTACTGCATTAGCACATGGCAATCATGTGATTTCATACCAACCAATTTAAGGTCCTTCATGTTAGATGAATAGCCAGATGGAACCTTGACAGCTATAAAGACTTGTTTTTTTCCTTTTATCATGTGATTTCATACCAACCAATTTAAGGTCCTTCATGTTAGATGAATAGCCAGAAGGAACCTTGACAGCTATAAAGACTTGTTTTTTTCTGTTGAGATTAATAAGAACAAGAAAAATAATAATGGCAGTAAAGGATAAAGAAGACAAGATTTACGTGGTTCGGCAATGTGCCTACATCCACGGGAGTGAAAGTATTCTCTTATTATTTGTGATGGTGTACAAGGTGATGAGATACATTGATTATATTTATAGGCATATAATCTCCCTTTCACTCCTATTCCTTATATGAGACAAACTCATATTCCTAATCCTTATATGAGACAAACTCATATTCCTAATCCTTATATGAGACAACCACAACAAATCTCCACCTTGGCGAATATGCTCTCTATGAGAAAAAGATAACTCAACAAATCTCTACCTTGGCGAATAAGCCCTTTAGGAGAAAATACTTATCTAACCATCTCCACCTTCACAAATAAGCCCTTTAGGAGAAAAAACTCATCTCATAGTCTCCCTGGATTAGGACCACCATGTTCATTTAACATCTGGAAACACCCAACAAGTCCAAACAATGTTTGAACTTGTCACTAGTAACTGCCTTTGTCAACATATCTGCTGCATTCTCACTTGTATGAATTTTCTGCAACAAAATCTCACCAGAAGCAACCAACTCTCTGACCTTATGAAACCTTACATCAATATGTTTGGTTCTGGCATGGTATACTTGATTTTTAGCTAAGAAAATGGCACTTTGATTGTCACAGTGTAATTGAACTCCATCTTGCTCAATACCCAACTCCTTAATCAAACCTGAAAGCCACAAAGCCTCTTTAGCTACCTCAGTCACAGCCATGTATTCTGCTTCAGTTGTAGACAAAGCTACAATAGACTGAACTGATGATCTCCAGCAAATAGGACCACCCCCAAGAGTAAAAACATACCCTGTTGTAGAACGTCTATTATCCATGTCACCAGCATAATCAGAATCCACATATCCCATGAGTACATGCTCATTCTGTTGACTTCCAAATACAATACCATGCTCCATAGTGCCCCTTAAGTACCGGAGAATCCATTTAACTGCTTCCCAATGCTGCTTCCCAGGTTTAGACATGTACTTACTAACTTGGCTAACAGCATGAGCCAAATCAGGTCAAGTACAAACCATTGCATACATTAAACAGCCAACTGCACTAGCATAAGGAACCTTTGCCATATTTTCAATCTCACTAACTGTTTGGGGACACTGACTGGATGAGAGTTTAAAATGATTAGCCAAAGGGGTACTAACCGGTTTAGACTTACTCATCCCAAACCTGTCAAGAATTTTCTCTATATAACTCTGTTGAGTTAGCCACAACTTTCTTGCACCTCTATCCCTGTGAATTTCCATGCCAAGAATTTTCTGTGCAACTCCTAAGTCTTTCATATCAAATTCCTGACCCAACAACACTTTCAATGCAGTAATATCATTCATACTCTTAGCAGCAATCAACATATCATCCACATGCAGTAACAGAAAAATAAAAGAACCATCACCAAGGCTTTTAACATAGACACAACAATCATACTCACAACGAGTATAGCCAATTTGAATCATGTAAGCATCGAACCGCTTGTACCACTGCCGTGGAGCCTGTTTCAGCCCATACAAAGACCTCTTGAGTCGACAAACCAGATGCTCACCTCCGGTTTTAACAAACCCTTCAGGTTGCTTCATGTAAATTTGCTCATCTAGATCACCATGTAGAAAAGCAGTTTTCACATCCATTTGTTCCAAATGCAAATCCCAAATGGCTACCAAAGCAAGTACTAATCTGATAGAAGTATGTCTAACAACAGGAGAGAAAACCTCATCATAATCTATCCCCTTCTGTTGAGAAAACCTCTTCGCAACTAACCTAGCCTTAAACCTTTCCCTTTCTTTTTCTGATACTGGTGGCTTCTTCCTATAGACCCACTTGCACCCTATAGCCTTCTTTCCTTGAGGAAGTTGAGCTAACTCCCAAGTATGATTATGATGTAAAGACTCCATCTCCTCAATCATACCTTCCATCCATTTATCTTTCTCCTGGCTAGAAATAGCCTCTTGAAAGGTAACTGGATCATTATTAGAAACAAGAAGTGCAAAAGAAACCATATCCTCAAACCCATACCTACTAGGTGGTTTGACATTGGTGCGTCTCGGTCTATCTCTAGCCAAACTGTAATCTCATAAATTTTCTGAACCCGAACCTGCTGCAGATGTAGAATCTGCAACTTCTTGAGTCTCAACCGTAGGTGGATTAACTACTTTCTCACTCAAAGGTACACGATCCATATCCACTTCTACTGTGCTAGAACCATCAACTAGTGTATCTTCTTTCTTTGACTGGAACATGAAATTCTCATCAAACACTGCATCTCTGCTAATCACCACCTTTTTGGTTGCAGGATCCCAAAACTTATATCCTTTTACACCTTTCTTATAACCCAAAAAGATGCACTTCTTCGACTTGGGATCTAACTTTGATCTCTCATCACCTGGAATAAGAACATAGCTAGGACAACCAAAAACTCGTAAGTGATCAAAACTTACAGGATTACCTAACCAAACCTCCTCAGGAACCTTGCCACCAAGTGATGTCCGTGGTGATCTATTGATCAAGTAACATGCCATGTTCACTGCTTCTGCCCAAAAACACTTAGAGAGCCCAGCATTCAATCTGAGACACCTTGCTCTCTCAGCAATGTTTCTATTCAGCCGCTCAGCAACACCATTCTGTTGTGGTGTCTTACGCACTGTATAGTGCCTTTGAATTCCATGTTCTGCACAGAATTTCTGAAATTCTTTCTCAGTATATTCTGTCCCGTTGTCAGACCTCAGGTACTTGATTTTTCTTCCAGTCTGGTTCTCAACCTCGGCTTTCCACAACTTAAATTTCTCAAACACTTCAGATTTATGTTTCAAGAAATACACCCAGACTTTCCTAGAAAAATCGTCAGTAAATGTAACATAATATCGAGAGCCACCCATTGAAGGTTCCCTGGTAGGTCCCCAAACATCAGAATGCACATAATCCAGAATCCCTTTAGTTTTATGCTGCCCAGTAGAAAAACTGACTCTAGTCTGTTTCCCAAGGACACAGAACTCACAGAAATCTAGATTACAACATTTAACTCCTTTTAACAAATTCCTTTTGTGCAAATCAAACAGACCACGTTCACCAAGGTGACCCAAACGTAAATGCCACAACCTAGTAGTATCATCACTAGACTCAACAGAATGTGTTCCACCTACAACAGTACTACCCAACAACCTATAAATGTTCCCTGTGGTCCTTTTCCCTTTCATCACAGTTAAAGCACCCTTACTAATTTTAATGGTTTCCTTATCACTCTCAGACTTATGAATAAAACCATTAGCATGCAAACTGCCAAGAGAAATCAGGTTCTTAGTTAATCCCGGTATATGTCTGACATCATGCAAAGTTCTGACAATACCATCATACATCTGGATGTTAACATCACCAATACCTATGATATTATGACATCTATCATCACCCAGAAAAACAGAACCGAAAGTACCTGACTTATAGGTTGTGAACCACTCCCTGTTAGGTGTAATATGATAAGAGCATCCTGAGTCTAGAATCCAAGCATCTGATAACTTACTCGATGAAACTGCTAGAACATCACCTTCACTATAATCTGAGTCATCAGCATGCACCACGTTCGCCGCCTCTTGTTGTTTTTTTCAACTTTGGACAATCTCTCTTTATGTGCCCAATCTCATAACACTTGTAGCACCGGATTTTCCTGCTATTTCTGGACTTAGACCTAGAGTTTTTCCTCCCAGAATTACCCTTCTCTTGTTTCCTTCCACGATCCTGACCCTCTTTAGCATACAAACTTTCACCAACAGACGATCCATCTCCTACACTCTGCAAGCGCTTATTATGAGCCTGTAGGGCCGCAGAGATCTCGCTGTATTTAACCGTGCTTTTCCCGTATGTTAGAGTAGTCACCAGATGTTCAAAAGAAAAAGGTAATGAACATAGCAAGATCATCGCCTTGTCTTCATCTTCAATCTTGAAATCAAGCCTGACCAGATCTGAGATTATCTGATTGAAGACATTAATATGATGCACCAAGTCTGAACCCTCCTGCATCTTAAGCCCATAAAGCCTTTGCTTTAGATACAGTTTGTTCGTTAGAGATTTTTCCGTGAACTGAGTTTCCAATTTATCCCAAATTTCTTTTGGGGCTTCCAGGGCCATAACGTGATACACAATTCCATCGTCTAGGCATAACCGAATGGTTCCTGCCGCACGCTCCTTCAAATCTTCCCAATCATCCTCTTCCAGATTAGCTGGCTTATCCGCCTTCAAAGTTTTCAGAAGACCCTGTTGTGCCAACAAATCCTTTACCCTAGATTGCCACAACCCAAAATTCCCTGTACCATCAAATTTTGATACCTCGAATTTTGTACTTGAACTAGCCATCTCAACTATGCTCTGATACCAATTTGTTGACATTAATAAGAATAAGAAAAATAATAATGGCAGTAAAGGATAAAGAAGACAAGATTTACGTGGTTCGGCAATGTGCCTACATCCACGGGAGTGAAAGTATTCTCTTATTATTTGTGATGGTGTACAAGGTGATGAGATACATTGATTATATTTATAGGCATATAATCTCCCTTTCACTCCTATTCCTTATATGAGACAAACTCATATTCATAATCCTTATATGAGACAAACTCATATTCCTAATCCTTATATGAGACAAACACAACATTTTCCTTTTTAGACAGAGTATAACAAGCTGGAGGTAAGTATGTCATCTTTCCAGATTCTTGTGGTGCTAATTGAGTCCTTATCCCCATTTCTACCATATCTTTTCTAGCTTTAATACCATCTTTCATCTTACCTTGAATATTCAACAATGTCCCGATAATGCTATCACAAATATTTTTCTCCACATGCATTACATCAAGACAATGTCGAACAGATAAGTGCCCCCAATATGGTAAATCCCATAATATAGACCTCTTTTTCCAAATACCCTTTTGACTTGTTTTTGAAGTTTTTCCCCACACATTATCAATGTTTTTGACTCATTCATAAACAACATCCCCTGATAATGGTAAGCGAGCAACTCCAGTCTCAGATTTTCCATTGAAAGTTTTTTTCCTTTTTCGATAAGGATGGTCAATAGGTAAAAAGGTTCGATGACTCATGAACACATTTTTCCTACTGTTGTTCAACTAAAGATCAAATGTTTCATCTTCACAAACAGGGCATGCCTTAGCCCCTTTAGTAGTATACCCTGACATGTTACCATATGCTGATTGTGCAGAACAGCATGGCTCGTAAAGTGAAGTTGGTTTGACTATGAGCATCAAATACTGTCACACCTTCATTCCACAACATCTTTAAATCTTCAATAAGCGGTGCCAAGTACACATCTATGTCGTTTCCTGGTTGTTTAGGACCAGATATTAGCAATAATAACATGATGTACTTGCGCTTCATACACAACCACGGAGGAAGATTGTAAACTGTTAAAAGAACTGGCCAAGTGCTATGGCGACTGCTCATGTTACCATTAGGATTCATTCCATCTGTGCATAGTCCAAGCTTAAGATTTCGATTTTCAGCACCGAAATCTGGAAACTTCTTATTAATGTTCTTCCACTGAGGAGAATCGACAGGATGTCTCAACTTTCCATCTTCTTTTCTCCCACTAGCATGCCATTGCAAATTCTTCGCATCCTTTGCATTTGCAAACAAACGTTTGAATCTTGGAATCACCGGTAGATACCACAACAACTTCGCTGGAGGACCTTTCTTCTGCTCACATGCATCATCGAGCCCTTTTTGTTTATAACGCGATGCTCCACACTTCGGACACACATGCAAGTCTTTGTTTTAATTCCAATACAAAATACAGTCGTTTGGACATGCATGGATCCTTTCAATCTCCATACTCAACGGACATAACATTTTCTTTGCCTCATAAGTTGAACAAGGAAGTTCATTCTCAATAAGAAGCATGCCTTTTAAAAGCTCTAATAACTCCGTGGAACGCTTATCACTCCACTTATTTTTTGCTTTTACGGTATACAATTTAAGCACTGCTGATAACTTTGTAAATTTACTACATCCAGAAAACAAAGGTTTTCCAGAACTCGCAAAAAAACTTTCAAACTCTTGAGGCATTTCATTCAAATCCCCTTGCATATCACGCATCATTTCATCTAGCCGATCATTGTCTCCATCATTTCCAACATTATTTTCATTACTTTGATCTTTCTCTACATTTTTTCTACATTCTCTTTGATTAGTACTGTTACTAGTAAGGACAGTTTCACCATGCCATATCCACCAGTCATATCCTAGCTTAAAACCACGACGTATCAAATGTTCCTTAATTTGTTCAGAACTACGAAACTTTTTTAGATTTCTACAATCATAACAAGGACACACTATATAATTTTCACCAATTTTACTTGCATATTCCTCGGCAATTTTAACAAACTCTTGAACCCCATGAACATATTCAAGTGTATTGTGTTTTTTATACATCCAACTCCGATCCATATCTCATATATATTGTCACAGAACATTTAAGAAATGATAAATGAGTTAGTTTCTTAAGTTATAACTTAGAGGTTCAAATTGAAGCTTTAACTAAATAATTTTAAATTAACTAATTCATAAGATAATGGTTGGTCAAATATGATTCCAATACAAAATAAGAGAAGTACTTTAGTAATTACAAGTTCATATCATATTTTAGTCAATAACCTATGCTTAGATGCATTAATTTTCTATTGTAATATATGGTACTACGAAGTTCACGTACCATAGTTTTATCTTAAATTCGGAAGCAAATGAAGTTGATAATCTATGAAACCTCAAGAAGTATGAATAAAATATGAAACTAAACAATACTCTATAGCCCTATCTACCAAACATGTACCACCAATCACAATTTATTTTGCACAAATTTGTCAATAATGCCTAACATATACAATAATACACAACAAATTTGTCAACAATGCCTAACATATACAGTAATACACAACAAATTTGTCAACAATGCCTAACATATACAATAATACACAACAAATTTTAAAATAAATAAACAACAATAAAAAATAACAAAAAAATAATTACTGATTTTAGAAAAAAAAAAATTTTTTGAAAACTACGTATGCACCTGCGGTCAGCCGGCGGCCGGCGTTCGTAGCAGCGGCGGTGGTTGGCGTGCGAGGCAGCAGCGGCGAACAGCGATGAACGGAGGCGTCACCGGCGGTGAGCTCGGGCGGCAGCGTCGACGAGCTTGGAGATGAAGAGCGCCGATGAAGCAGCGACTTGAACGGGAGTGGGTGATGGAGAGCGGCGAACGGCTGATGGACGGCAGGGAAGGCTGGAGAGCGGCAGACGGCGGGTCGGCTGAGAGCGGCAGACGGCGATTCGCCACTGCTACAGACGGCTGGAGGCTTCTGAACTGAATTTCGATTGTTAGGGTTGAAGGGGGATCAGAAAGCTACTTCGCTTCTAAAGTTCGCCACTTTGGACGCGAATTATGTCCGCATTTAATTATTCGCGTCCCAAGTTTGCAACTTTGGACGCGAATTATTTTTTTAAATAAAAAATAAATTATATAGTGGCATTTTAATTACAAAATTGCCACCGCACTACACTTTAGGCGTCCAAAGTTCAAACTTTGGACGCGAATTATTAGATTTTATTGATATTTTTTGTACTATTAGTGAGTGTGCGTGGGTGTAACATCTCAAAGTGAGGGGGGCTCCTTGTACGCAGCAAGCAAAGGTCTAGCCTCTATGGTTCATGTTCAGTTGAGTTACCATGATTTACATTCTCCCAGATATTCTGTCGGGCCAAGGTGTGGGGGCCCCTAGGATTGGGGTTCAACCTTGTTGGAAAGAATAGTAGGAATATATCAAAATTGACTAGGCTTCTATGTTTTGGGATTTGTTTTAATTCTTTAGTATGGTTGGTTAACTACATGCATTTTAGTAATGGAGAGTTTGTTAATTGGGAACCAATGATCTCTTCAAATGATAAAAGAATTGTTTTTAGTCAAATTTTTGGCAATTAAGCAGTACCTTATGATGTTTTCAGAGAGTTGTTTAAGGTTGTACACAGTACATAGTTGGATTAAATTAATTTGTGTTCAATTAGTCCTAATCATCTTCAGTTAGGCACTTCGACCTAATCATTTTCTACCCATTATTTTTGGCCTGCAATTTGTTTTAATTTTTGGTTTAATTTTGTTTGAAGATATGAATTTTATACTTCATTGTTTTATTTGTAGCTCATATATTATGACTATATATATAGTTAAAACTACTAATTAAAAAAGTATCCAATGAATATTTTTTAAAAAAATTGGATGAAGCTTGCAGTTGTTACTTGAATGTGGTTTTAGATAAACCCACCTTTTGATTCTAGCTGATAAATAATCACAAAGAGGTGATTAGGTTGTCCATAGCTGACCGACTCAAACCGAAAAGACCATTAAATAACTCTCACATGGAATGAAATTTGAAAATTTGTGACTATTAAATAATCAACTAGTCCTATTGTTCAATTGGGGTTGTCCTAACATAATAAATCCTATTGTCAACATTTTGGAAAAGATAAAAAGGATAATTGAAAATTTATGATTGTACAAAAAATTAAATCATTGCGCCAACACAATTTATATTTTCATTATAACTCTACCCTTTGTGAAATATCTTTCCAAATATATACATCAAATTACTTATCACCTGTACTTTAATAATAATAATAATAAAAAAAAAGATATTAAATTGTTAAATTATACATAAGTTAGTCTCAGTTACGCTCTTATCACACATCGTGGAACCTGTGACATGTGATACCAATTGTCAAGTTTTGAATGTTTACAAGTGTTGAGTTTGTTTCATATATGGATTAGGAATAAGTGTTTGTCTCAAGCCTTGGGCGCAAGCCCGGGCGGAGCGGCCGTCGGTGCAGATCTTGGTGGTAGTAGCAAATATTCAAATGAGAACTTTGAAGGCGGATAAGCCAGCTAATCTGGAAGAGGAAGATTAGGAATAAGTGTTTGTCTCATACTAGGAGTAGGAGTGAAACGAGTAGACCTATTGTATAAGGATTAGATGCCTATAAATATATTGGTTGTATCCCTATGGGTAGTGTCACCACTAACACCATCACAAATAATAAGAGAATACTTTCACTCCCGTGGATGTAGGCACATTGCCGAACCACGTAAATCTTGCCTTCTTTACCCATTTCTGCCATTATTATTGTTTCTTGTTCTTGTTAATCTCAACAAATTGGTATCAGAGCTCTGTTGAAATGGTCAGTTCAAGTACAAAATTCGAGTTATCAAAGTTTGATGGTATAGGGAATTTTGGGTTATGGCGGGCTAGGGTAAAAGATTTGTTGGTACATCAGGGCCTTCTAAAAACCTTGAAGGCGGAAAAGCCAGCAAATCTGGAAGAGGCTGATTGGAAGGAGTTGAAGAAGCAGGGAGCTACGGACGTGGTACATGCTGATGACTCTTATTATAGTGAAGGTGATGTTCTAGCGGTAACTAGTAACAAGTTTGAACATTGTTTGGACTTGTTGGGCGTTTCTAGATGCTAGATGAGAAGATGGTGAGGGGCGCTGTAGTGTTGGGCAGCGCGGATACCAGGAGGGGTCGTAGACCTGGTATCAATATGGGTCAATATTGGCTCGGTATGGGTCGGGCTTGTCACGAGTCACGGCTGGTATCGGTATGGGCTTATATGGCCTCGGTATGTGCCGGTATGGCACTGGTTAGGGCCGATATGAGTTTGGTATGGGAGGACTTCTCGGGACGACGAAGAAGTTCGTGAACATGCACTGGGAAACGTTTGGTGCTGCGTTGTGCATGTTGCTGGCCAGTGGTAATTGCTGGTTAGTGGAGCATTGGGCAAGGCACACGAGTTTAGTGTGACTTTGTAGGGGCGCTGTTGTGTTGGGGCAGCGTGGATACCAGGAGGGGATATGGACCTGGTATGGGCCGGATGCAGGAAGTCAGCTGAACGGGGCAGTTAGCATGAGTCGCGGCGGTATAACAGGTCGACGGCTGAGGGGCAAATGGCTTGGAACAAAGCGGTTCGTGTACATGCACTGGGTAACGTTTGATGCTGCGTATGCATGTGGCTGGCTAGTTGGGATGAGCATGGTTGTTCCTACCCATGTGTATATGTGAGACAAGTTTTTTTCTCCTAAGGGGCATAATTGTGAAGGTGGAGATGGTGAGATACGTCTTTTCTCCTAAGGGACATATTTGCTAAGGTGGAGATTTGTTGAGTTATCTTTTTCTCCTAAAGGACATATTTGCGAAGGTGGAGAAGTCTTTTCTCCTAAAGGGCATATATGTGAAGGTGGAGATGGTGAGATAAGTCTTTTCTCCTAAAGAGCATATTCGTCAAGGTGGAGATTTGTTGAGTTATCTTTTCTCCTAAAGAACATATTCGCCAAGGTGGAGATTGTTGAGTTTGTCTCATATATGGATTAGGAATAAGTGTTTGTCTCATACTAGGAGTAGGAGTGAAACGAGCAGACCTATTGTATAAGGATTAGATGCCTATAAATATATTGGTTGTATCCCTATGGGTAGTGTCACCACTAACACCATCACAAATAATAAGAGAATACTTTCACTCCCGTGGATGTAGGCACATTGCCGAACCACGTAAATCTTGCCTTCTTTACCCTTTTCTGCCATTATTATTGTTTCTTGTTCTTGTTAATCTCAACAACAAGGATTGAGAGAGTGTTGGATTGAGAATTTTTGTTGGTAAAATTAAATTGGGTAAAGGGTATTTATAGAGCAAATAAGAATTTAAAAAAAAAAAAAGTTAAAACATTTTCGGCCAGTGCAATGACTAAATTTTTGGTCGTTGCACTGACCGAGCAGGCGAGCAGTAGCCTCTGCCGAAGGCCATGCCCAGCCTAGTGGTTAATAATTATTTTGTATCAGTTAATATTAATTAGAAAATGTAATTATTTTATTCTTGATTAGGTGGTACATATACACATGCCATCTAGATCTGAGATATATGAGATCTGGATCACAGATGCCACTGCCTGCCTCTTCCTACAACTTGACATGCTTTTGTTTGAAGAGAATTTGATGTGTTTCTAGGCTTGTTTAACCCTCTAAAGTGGAAATCATTAGCAACAATTTGCATTGCATATTTTCCCATTCACAAACACTGCAAACATACTATTATATCAATTGTAAATTAGACTATCATTAGCAATAATGTTTGTATTTTCGTTGACAAATTAGACAAACTATTCATAGCACAAATCATGAAATGTTCCGTACAACTAGCAGACTGGGTTTTGTGTTAGTTCCGTACAGCTCATGAATATTTCCACGCAACTACTAGACTGAGGTTCTAATGTTTTGGGATTTGTGTTAGTTCTTTAATATGTTTGGTAAACTGCTAGCAATTTCTTAAGAATAAAAGTTCGTTAAGTTGGTGCCAATGATCTCTTCAAATGATCAATTAGAAGTTTCTTATTCAAAATTTTCATAATTT